CTTTAGTTTGAGGCTTGTAGAAGTGGTTATCTGTTTTCATGCAATAATCCATATTGATTTTTGTCCTTTGTTCAGTGACTGCATTAAGATTCTTGTTTTCTTATACTGTATTTGGTCTTATTTGCATTGAAGAAAGACATATTTTTAATAAGATAAACCAAGAAGCCACATTATTAAATATAAAAAGTATGTTTAATGTTGACTGACCTGAGTTCCAAAGAAAGTTGGGAGCAATGGTTAATTTATCACCCTGTCACCTCTTAAGTCTTTTAATTTGTCTTTGCGATTTTTGAACAGACTTTCAACTGCTAGAAAATAACTGTGTAAATTGACACTAATATCTTGGAATATTTAAATGTCAGAATAGTTATTCAGATTTTGGTATGATTACAAGTCTAACCTTTACCCAGTTAATTTGATTTAAGGAGTACTAGTCTCTAAATTTTCCTAACTAATATTCCATTGTATGTTCTATGGCCTTTTATAATTATTCTTTCCATCTTTACTTTAGAGCCAAATACTATTATTTTGTTTTCCATGTTAGTCCTTTCTTGTTGTGATCTATTTATAGTGTGATAGTTGAGAAAAAAATAAGAAAAAAAGAAATGACAGCATTATTAGCAAGAGCAGTAATAAACTTGAATATGTTCTATACAAAATGTTTGATATGTGGAAATCATATACCTTATGCAAATACATAAGTGGCCTGGTTAATGTCCTTTGGACTTGCTCAAGGAAGTCATTGTCATTATCAGTAGTTTTTCAAACCTTTTTCAAATCACCATGCTATTTCTTCAAAGGGAATCGCCTAGAATTCCAATATTAAAATAAGAGATGCTCTGGTTGCAGAGACAGGTAGAGGTGGTATTTGATGTGTTTCTGGTAGGGTAATGTCTCCTCTTCGCCACCCACTTTTTCCTTTTCTTCCCCTTCCTCTTTAATAACTCTGGGCACAACCTACTCTCCCATAACATATTGGAACATCCTGGAATATAGTTTGAAGATTGCAAATGTTATTCTGAACTTTTTGTCAGTGATGAGCCATCTTTGAGAGTAATTATTTGTTGAGTTTCTGCCTGGCCACTTCTCCCCATCCCCCTGACCCAGGTTTTAAATTTCTAAACAGGTTTGTATACAAATGAGTGACTCAGGAGATTTGGCAGCAGTAGGCTTTGTTAAAGGTTTTTGTTTGGTTAAATATAGAAGTTATTCAGATTATTTAAATTCAAAACTAAAAAACTCTTCAGTGCACATTTGCTGGAGGGCAGACTGCAGGTTTCTGTGACTTGTAGTCTAGAATGTAGTTGAGTGGGACCTTAAAGAGAAAAAGTCACCTATTTTGCAAGCCCTGCAAATTATTTATAAGCTGTTAGAGCAGAAGCTCTTAATCACTTAACGTGACCCATGGTTGAAGTTCTGAAACAAGAAGCACATGGATATTGGGAGTGGTAGTCATTCAGATAAGAGAATGGATTGGGTGCTTACTGACATTTATTGACATTGATTACCCTCTATATTGCAGAAAGTGTCATGAGTATGTTTCTGGTATGTTTCTCATTTAATCCCCACAGTTCTCTTGTATCTATATTATCATGTTTTACATGGGCAAGAAAATGAATATTTTTGTAAAATGACATGCCAAGGATATGTAAATAATGGTCCCAGTGTTTTGTTCTTGGTTTTGTCTGATCCTTCAGACATCCGTGGTACTTGGTTTTTAGGAAATAGTGGTTCATTTTTGCTGACAGAATAACCCTAAGTATGTCCATATAGTCTTATGAAATGAGAATGAAGTTTAAAGTCAGCACCAGGTGGTAATATTAGGACATGGATAAAAAAATTAACATTCATGGTAAAGGAGAAAAGGTATGCATATAATGAAAACATTAACTTTATAGGTATTTAAAGAAATCTAGTATTCCCATTGTCATCTTTGTTCAGATTTTCAGTTTTGTATTATCTATTTCAAACTTTGTACCCACACATTATAGTCTTAAGATTAATTTTAGTCCTATCAGCCTCTTTATCTTCTTCAAATTCTTCTTGGTTTAAAGGAGATAGACCTGTTGCCTTTTCTTCTTTGTTGTATTTATAATGCATTGGTTTGTTTTTTTGTTGAAATGACATTTTCCTTAAAGAGCAGTCACACATCCCCATATGGAGAAATTTTACTTCAAAGGAAAATATCTTTAAAAACAAAACAAAGCCAAAAAATCCTCAGATATCCCAAAGTGTGTATATCCAGTGAAGTATTTAATGAATGTTCTCTCTAATAAGTTTTGGGAATTTGTACATGTATTGTATCTTCTCACTCCATACCTCTCTTGAAGATAGCCAATACATGTTAGCATTTTAGTGGTTCTAAGAAGTCTAACTTTGTTTGCCTCAGCTGAACTTTCCTAATTACAATCCCCATTTAAAATGTAGTCTTCCCAACCTATCTTTGAGCCAGTGTTCCTTGGAATTTACTTTAGAAAATATTATTGGACCATTTGGTACATTACACTTTGGTTTTCTTTT